AAACAAATAAATAAATAAATAAATAAACAAATAAGAAACGAAATTTGCTAATTAATAATCATTATTTTTTCCTCCAGCTTATCAGCTGTCCGAAATCCTAAATCCTTGAATCTGATTGGTTAATCGCGCGCAATTCACCGGTAAGGATTTCCCTATCTGGACCCCGAGTGCGGACCGCTCCAAAATTTCCAACTTTAGCAACTTTTCAAGCTTTTTGTTACACAGTAAAACAACGTAAAATGTAAACATTCAAAACAGAGTCAAAGAATTACGCAAACAGCTTTTTCTGCCAGAAATGTCAAACGCACGCGTGCGCCAGGTTTGAACTGAACGGCTTTGAAAGCAATAACTTAGAGAAAACATAAGCACGCAAGGCGGGAGTTATTTTATTGTGAATTAAAAGCCTCTGGATGTAGCAGCATTCAGTCGCATTCAGTACACTCTCAACAGTTGTGATTAGGTTAATCTAACAAGCCTTTTTGGTTACGATGTACAGCAAAAAAATTCGTTTCACCTTGAGACGTGTAATATCAAGCCTAATTTTTACAAGGTTAGAATTTGACAATTCGATCAGTAGCTTTATTTTTACGAATTTCAATGGAACCGCTTGCAACAAGCACAGTTTCACTTCGACGTAAACAAAAATGTTAACTGCAAGACTTGGCACAAATCACGATTGAACATCGGAGAAACAATCCTATTTACTTCAATTTTTAAGTCCTCGATCTGTCCAACACGAGGAGACGAATGTGACTGCAATCAAAGAAAAGCTTCTTACCCGCAAACATAAATGTGGCCTCCGCTATCCAATACATTCCAGATGGACTGCTCATTCTCTGCCATGAGATTGGTCACATAGATCTTCTCTTTCTAAAGAAAAGAAAAAGAAAAAGTAAAAAAAAAGAGAGAAAGAAAGAAGAACAAAGAAGAAGAAGGAAGACGAAAGAAGAAAGAAGAAGAAAAAGAAAAAGAAATTCTCAAACATGAACAATGCTCAAGAAAGCAATTTCAAAAAGTGCTACCCTCACTAAAATGTTGAGAGAGCTGTAGTCTTCCTAAATGGTTTTGATTGAGAAACAAATAAGAAAGAAAGCTGTGCAATAACGTCTAGTAGATCTCTAGAGTCTCAAAATCTCTAGAATCCCAATAATATCTTACTTGGTCTCTTGAAAAAGCAACATGCAACTGTTGAATGGTACCATCTTGTGAATATGACAGCAGTTCATCCTCATAAATGTAGTCCTCGCTCTTCTTGCGACAACCAAAAAACAAAATCATCTCACCGACAGCTTTGCCTAAAAGGAAAGGAGCGCCACTTTAAAAATAAGTCCAGAGTAGGTACACGTATGACTTACATTTTATACTTGTCATTGGGATAAAACTGAATTATCCTGAAAAAAAATGAAAGAGACTAAGATTTTCAGGTTAAATAAGTGCTAAGAAATGGCCTGTAATATATTCGCTGATTTTGTGAATATTTGAAACTTATTGCTTCAGCTTATGACTAAAAAGATTAATCGCTCTTGATAAATGTATCCCAAACCAAACTTGAATTTTCTTCAACATTTGTCAGCAAAGCAGGAAAACCTGCACAAGATACCGAATCATTGAAAACCTGCAAAACAATGCCATTAAAATGTAGCCAATTAGTTAGTTGGGGAACTCTTGCCATTTTGTTGGTGCTAGCTGATGAGGTAAGATTTTTCTTGTAACTGGAGTGTAGATATCTATCACTCAGTAAAAAGTCAGTCAGTCCGTCTGTGCATCGGTCTGTCAATCAGTCAGTCAGTCAGTCCCTCCATCCGTCTGCCCATCCATTTATCCATCAGTCAGTCAGTCAGTCAACAATTAATCAATCAATCAATTTTAATTTCAATTTTCATTTTTAACTTTAATGTTTAATTTTCAATCAATCAAGTTTAACTTCATTTTCACGATAAGTTGCAGGTTAACACATATTCACAATAGCTGTAAATTGAGTGGGCCCATGCACAAATTGTATTGGAAAATTTGCAAAAACTTAATAGTAATAGTAATTAGACCGAGTGGAGTACAGTTCAAGGAGTAATCGTGTGAGTAATTTTAAAATCGGACAAGCGTGAAGCGTGAGGCTGATTTGAAATTATGAGCACGATTACTTCCTGAATTGTACTCCACTTGGTCCATTTACTAATTAATCGTATCTATAACAAATTTCGGAATTAGTAATTAGAACTTCGAGTGAAAAACGTTGTAGTGCTTTTCAAAAGTTTTAAAAACTGTGGGAAACATTGAGAAGGAAGCCATTAAAGCATGCATAATTGACATGCGAATCACGTGGGTATCCAATTACAGGGTTCCAATTTCAAAAAGTTCAAAGTGGATACCTTTAATTGGACACCTACGTGATCATGCGCCGATTACGGGACAACTATGATAGACAATTTTGTTATAGATACGATTATAATTGTAATACCTTAATTACGTTATTAGGGTATTAGGGTATTAGGGTTTTGGGGTATTGGGGTACTGGGGTATTGGGGTATTAGGGTATTAGGGTATTGGGGTTTTAGGGTATAAGGGTATTAGGGTTTTATGTTATTAGGGTATTAGGGTGTTAGAGTGTTAGGGTATTAGGGTGTTAGGGTATTGGGGTATTAGGGCGTTAGGGTATTAGGGTATTGGTGTTTTGGGGTATTAGGGTATTAGGGTATTAGGGTATTGGGGAATTTCTCTTATACCCTAATATCCAAATACATCAATACCCCAATACCCAAATACCCTAACAGTCTATTATCCTAATACCCTAATACCCTAACGCTTTAACACCCTACTATCTTAAGACCCTAACACCCAACGCCCTAGCACCTGAATACCCTAATACCCATACACCCTAACTCCCTAATATCCTTATACCCTAAAACCCAAATATCCTAACACTATTATACCCTGATACCCTAATACCGGTACCCCAATACTTGAATACCATAATACCGTAATACCCTAATACCCTTATGCCCTAATACCCTATTACCCTAATACCCTAACAGGCTAATACCTTAACACCCTAATACCCTAATACTTTAAGACCATAACACCCTAATACCATAACAGCTTAACACCCTAGCACCCTAACCCCCTAACACCCTAATCCCCTAATCCCCTAATCCCCTAATACACTAATAAACTAATATCCTAATACCCTAATAACCTAATACCCAAATACAGTAATACTCCAATACCTGTGTACTCTAATAACCTTATACACCAATAACCTAATACCCCAATACCCTAGTACCTCTTAAACTGCAAACATCTCAGATGCCGACGTTTAGGGTGGCTAGTACACAGGAAACAGAGGAGTCCTATTTGACCCTTTTTCCAGTTAAATTTGCCATACAATAGTAGAGGGAATTGAGTTTTTTGTTGATTCAAATGACCTCAAAATCAAACTGTACACATGCAATCGTACCGTGGTGATTAAATCTACTATAAATAGACATATAAAGCTTTTTGCATCAGGGTGGCTAGTATGCAGGGAACAGAGGAGTCCTATTTGAGGTTTTTTTTCAGTTAAATTCACCTTACAATATTGTAGTGTGAATCGATTTTTTGTTGATTGAAACGACCTCAAAATCAAACTGTGCACATGCGATCGTGTTGTGATGATTGAATCTACTACAAATAGATATATAAAGCTTTTCGTGAGAGCTGTTGTGTGACTTTGTGATACGATAGCTCATCAACTTGTTTGAGTATCAAAGTGTATCAGCTTGAACAAAGCCAAAAATTTTTGTCTATGGGCAAAATTTTAATGCTTGGATTGCATTTCAATTCGTGAAGTTCTCTCTAGTTCTCTTCGCTCCTGCTATGTGGGGTTCGTCTTCCAATGCGATTTCTGTGAGTTTGTCCTCAAAGACTGAGCAGGATTTTCTTGCAGTGGATTCCATGCCCACGGGTGAAACTTATAATCTGGCGTAATCATGAGCCTTTTGGAGGCTCGCGAGACCACAGTGTTCTTTATTAGAGACTTATTCGACAAATGCTATGGTGGCCTCAACGAAACTGTTCCATTTGATTTCTGAAATTTAATTCCAGGAGCTCAACCCTCCAGTAGTAGTACAACCAATATGTAGAGAGGATTGCCTCTTGTCAATTTTTACTAAACTTCAAACTTCGGAGCAGAAATTTAAAATAGCAGCTTCGAACAACTTCACCTCTGTCATCTAAAACGTTCCCAATACATATTACAAAAGCCAACATTTGGTGTTATTTAGAATTAACTGTTAATTAAAGATTAGAATTTATTGGACTAGAAATGTTTAATGAACTATACCCAAAAAGCAAACAAAGCAAGTTTCCATTTTTAGTGCAACAATCGCAGCTAGACCTAGTAATGTAAAATGATACACGTGCCTGCAATAATACAGTGATTTCGGGAGCTTTATCTACTGGTCAATGGAATTACTCCAAAAAGCTTGCAGATGATGGAAGGACGTCATTTGCATAATCTGCACGACCACTAAAACCCTTTATAGTTCACCACTAAATTTTCTCAGATTTTTATTGGTTTAAATTGATCATGCGAGGCGATATTTAGTGTTCATCCACAGAGAGACACTATCAGCCCATGGTGCCCGTCCGAGGAAAATACCCAGATCGATAGTACTCATCCGTGAAAATATTTCTGTAAACAAGCGTGCTTATGGAAAATAAACAATTGAAATTGTATTAAGAGGATTTTTGTCTGTTTTCTTTTTCAAATTTTAAATTTGGCTTTTGCGGCTTTCATCCAGAAAAGTTGAAAATAATTCAATATGATTTTTGAACTGATGCAAGGAAGAAAATTTAGTGGTTAACAATAAAGACAATAGAGTGTTTATGTCTCAAAACTATCGGTCTGATACCGGTAGTTGCCCCTTGGAAATTTGATGTTTTTAAAACTAGCATATTTGCCCTTGAAGCTTCACTTCTTGGGCAAATATTTGTTTTAAGAACATCAAATTTCCAAGGAGCAACTATCAGCCAATAGTTCCTCGACAGAAACACTCTATTGTTTAAATAGATTGCTTACGGGTTAAAAAAGAGAATGTTTAAGTTGCTTTGGCCTCATATAATATTTAACTTGAGAATTCTGCTTTTAATTGCCGGCTGTTGGCACGAAATCAGAAGCTTGGAAGTACAAAATGTTTCCTAATTTTCACTTTTTATAGTCTGGTATGATATTTGGAATTCTAAATTCTTTTTTGTGAACATTTGATGCCGTCTCCGGTGAGAAACGTTGCCCAACTTCAATGCTTTTCTTGTTAACATGGGGGTAATACCCTTTCCCCCTTTGAATATTGGAAAATGGTATAATGCAAACTTGTGTTAGATGAAAGCTTTTTGTCAACATTGCACAAGAGTGGGGAGCAGCAAAATGCCCATAAAATGACATTTACCAACCGTTGTGACCCAAGTTCTAGTTCTTGCTACCCAAAAATTACGCTCATGCTTACCATTTTTCTAGAGCATGGTATAAGACAGTGAGTAAACAACAGCCTTCATTTGGTGCCCAAATAGAACCATCCTTTTATTAAAGAATGTTATATTGTCTTGGGCAAACCAGGAAAATCATCACATCGGAACAACAGATGCGACTAATGTAACACCTGCCGGTTTTCCCTACTGATACACCATCCTTAGGTAAATTTTAAAATGCATAGATTTAAGTTGGAGAAGTTTTATTTCTTTTTGTTTTTTTACACGAATGTTATATTGCCTCAACAGTTTTGGCCATGTGCCATGATTCCAGTGTCTCTCCGGTGCGACTGTTTCCTTTGTCAGTGATCGTAGAGTTGTCAAAGTCAATTACATGATCAAAAGTCTGAGCATGTTTTACAATGTTGGAACCTTTAACACATTGTTTTGTATTTCTGATATGTTCTTTTCTTCTCAAATTCCATTGACACGATGCATAGGGGATTATGTAAATAATGCTGCACTGATAGTCTTTAGAAGGTCGAAACTTGTGAACAGGAAATTCTTGTTGCAGTGTTTTTGTTGGTTTGTTGAAGATTTGGATGCAGTAGGTATGTATGGACGTCACACGCTGACGTGAAATCAACAGTTAACTTTCTTTTGTAAGTGAAATAAACATCTCTGAGTTTGCGCATTGACATTAAATCAACATTTCAAAAGCATCTTTGAGGTTGCACGCTGACGTGAAATCAACATTTTATCATTTTTCAAGTGACATCAACATCTCTGAGCTTGGGCATTGACGTAAAATCAACATTCAACTGTTTCTTAAGTGAAAAAAAAGCATCTTTGAGGTTGCACACTGACGTGAAATCAACATTTTGTCCTTATTGGAAATGAAGACAAAATTATTGCTTTCAAAAATTGAAGTGAGACAAACTTCTTTGCTTTGTTGTGAAACAAAAACTTGCTTTGAATGTTTTTCTGGCAATAGGCGATTTGCATGATGGTGTCATTTGACTACAACTACCAGAATCCTTCACTCTTTCTGTTTGTTATGCTAATTAGGGCAATTGTCATTGAAACCCCACTGGGAATTCAAAATTTAAATAAAAAACGAAAGGAATTCTGGTAGTTGTAGTCAAATGATGACAATGTGCAAATCTGCTCTTCAGAGCAGAAAAGCAAAATGTAACCTAACATTTTCAAGCCATGCCCACTAAACAGGATCTTGGTACCCCTTAGGGGTCCTTTTCAAAATTTCCGCTGAGCAGCCCTATCCACTTAATATTGGAGTCTCCCACCAGGGCCCCACACTATTTTGACTTGTTCTGAGTGGTTTTGAATTCAACTCAAGCATTACCAAGCAGTTTTGTTAGCTTTACTATATGTAAATTATTAAAACCAATCAATCGTTGATGAAGGTGTCTTGCATACACATCAAATTACCTTGAACTTGGCTATGATGGTGAAAGCCTAACAAAAAGTCTAACAGGAAGTGAAGGAACGAAGGAGTGAAGAAGCAAAGGAAGAATGGAGTGAATCTCTCATTCATACCTACAACTTGGATTTTCCACATTAAAAATATAAGTTTTGGGTTGAAAAAGGTAGCACTTGTCCTCCTTTTCTTGTTGTCTGAGGTTGTGAGTGGTGACTGATTGTTTGACTAAAACAATGTCTAAAACAACGTGTTACATAACTGCAAGTGACGTACTAAATAGAGAGAAGGGACTAGAGGGAATTGAGGAGTTAATCAGTCTGCATGGAAATATTTCTTTTCCCACCCTAATTTTAAATTTGAGTTAGTTAACTATTAATTTCAATGAGTAGACACATGTGGACACTGTGTACTTATGTTTTGTCTTTTCTTATTATTTTTTCAATCACGTCAGAAGGCAGTTGAAAGACTTGATTAATGAAACAAACCGAAAATGCTTTTTAAATAGATCAGGATATTACCACCCATTCAAGCAAACACAACATAGCTGAATGGAAACATCTATTAAAAGTGATGGTGGTGGTATGGAAAAAATGAATCATCTGTGAGCTGCAATTATCAAAGAACCTACATGTATTGTATTCCAAAACCATGGAGAAGCAATAATACTTTCATCAAGTTACTGACCACTTCGTTTCTGCATGTGCCTATCCTGTATAAAGCCTCTGAAGGGTGCTAAGCCAGTACCCGGGCCTACCATGATGACAGGAGTCACTGACTTGAAAGGAAGGCGGAACTGGGTTTTGCGAACGAAGATCGGAATGCGGGAAACTTCACCTTCTGTGAAAACAAACGTAACAAAAAATTGTGCATAAGACATAGGACAATAGAAGTATCACTTTTAGTCCCACTGGTTAATCAGGGTTCCCTCTTTCTCTGATCAATTAATCCCCTGGTCATGAGAATGCAGGCATAGTTTAGAAATCATAATTTATAAGGATTTCTAAGGGAATGAAAACATTTTGTTTTTAGAGCTATAAATATTATTGTAATGATGTCTATAACATTAACCTACAATGTTGCTGTGTTATCTTCTGTGTTGATTTCGTAGATAGATAGATACATGTATAAATAGATGGATGGATGGATGGATGCATGGATGGAAGGAAGGAAGGAGGGATGGATGGATGGAAGGATGGATGAATGAAAGGAAAGAGGGATGGATGGATGGATGGAAGGAAGGAAGGAAGGAGGGATGGATGGAGGGAGAGAGGGAAGGATGGATGGAGGGAGGGATGGATGGAAGGAGGGAGGGAGGGATGGA